CGGATCGACCAGAATACCGTTCTGGTTGACAAGTTGCTCCAGAAACTGCACCTCACGCAACTAAAACTCACACTTGGAGAACTTCGCATATAACCTATTCATCCTCAGAACCTCCAATACCTCTCTCAAATGCTCCTCGTGCTGCTCCAGAGTATTGGAATAGACCAGGATGTCATCAATAAATACAATCACATACCGATCCAACATAGGTATGCATACACGATTCATGAGATCCATGAATGCAGCTGGAGCATTGGTGAGCCTGAAGGGCATCACCACGAACTCGTAATGACCATAACGAGTATGGAAGGATGTTTTCTGCATATCCTCCTCTCTGACCCTCATCTGGTGATAACCTGAACGCATATCAGTTTTGGAAAACCAAGATGCACCCTGAAGTTGGTCAAATAAATCGTCAATCCTCGGGAGTGGATAACGATTCTTCACTGTTAGCTTGTTCAAATCTCGGTAGTCGATACATATCCGATGAGACCCATCCTTCTTCAAAAAAAAAATCGGTGCTCCCCATGATGAACTACTCATCCGAATAAATCTTTTGTCTAACAACTCCTACAACTGTGTAGACAAATCCTGCATCTCTGGGGTGCTAAATGATAAGGTGATTTGGCTATTAGAGCCGCACCTGGAACCAAATCAATCCAAAACTCCACTTACATCTCCGGAGGCACTCCTGGAAAATACTCCGGAAAAATGTCTGGGTATTCCCAAACAATCGGTAAATCACACTGAAGCCTTACCCGTATCTCGGATATCCATCACATTAGCCAAAACCCCAGAACAACTGTGTTGAAGATAACGTTTGGCCCATGTTGCTGAACAGAGGGTCGGTCCATGTTGTACACCCTCTCCGTGGATCACCAACTCTTTCCCACTTAGGGTAAGAATACGTACCAATTGATGCTCACAATCAATCATTTCCCCATTGGGGCTCAACCAATCCATCCCCACAATAACCTTGTTCTCGCGCAGGGGAATGGGAACTAAATTGATCGAATACTACTAACTAAACAACTCCGATATGCATCCCCGATGAACCCTCGATACTCGCACTTGACCATCGTCAGCAATGTCGACCTCCAATGGTTAATCCAGCTCCCCCAGATCATCGACAAACCTCTTGTTGAGCGCAAGAGACACAAAGGATCGGGTAGCCCCTGAATCAAATAAATCCAGAGCAGAGATATTGTTCACAAGGAATGAACCTATAAGCAAAACACAAATATAAGCAGGAAAAATCAAAAAAAATACAGGGATAAGGAGAAAATACATACCCGTCACCACATCTGGTGCTGCACGAGCCTCCTCGGCTGTCAGCTAAAATGTCCTTCTCCTCATAACAGGTGCCTCCGTCTTGCCTTGACGGCCATCTATAATCCTCAGGGTCTCCGGAGCGGGTACTGCAATTGGTCCTGCTGCTGCTAGGCTCGGGCAATTGGCCTTCTTATGGATCCTCTGACTTCAATGGAAGCAAATCAGATTAGATACCTGCGTGGTGGTGGTGTCAATGTAATCCCTGCTGATATGACTCGTCCTACCACACTTGAAGCATCCAGAACCACCCACCCTGCAAGCTCCATCGTCCGTCTTGCCACACTTTTCGTAGTGGCCCCGACCCTGTTGGCCCCCCGATCTCGAATCAAACACCTTAGGCCTCTTGACTAAGCCCTCTGAACTCTGAACCTAGTTCGCCTTCCTCTTCTTCTCCATCTCCAGATCAATCTCCCTCTCCCTAGCACTTGCCACCATATCATCCAGTGTCCTGCAACTGGATATGCTCACAAACTGTCTGATAGCGCTCCTCAACATATCGTGATATCTCATCTTCTTCATCTCTTCGTCCGCCACATACTGCAGAATCAGTAACGCCTATCACGAAACATAGCGGTGATCTCTGCCACCATCTCAGTAGTCTGGCGAAGGTCCTGAAACTCCATCGCCAACCGCTGGACCTCAATCACAGGTGCAAACTCAGTTCGAAACCTCATCACGAAATCCTCCCAAGTCATCGACTCAACCGCCTCGCCTCCCAAGGCGTGACCAACCTCCTCCCACTAGTCTCGAGCTCTGTGTTTCAGAAGACAGGATACAAGTCTGACATTTTCCCCCTCGGGACAACAGCTAGTGCGGAAGGCGTTCGTGACATCCGCTAACCAACGTCTGCTTGCAAGCGGATCCTTCTTTCCGAAGAAATTCGGGGATCCACATGGCCGGAACTCTCGGAAAGTCAAAGTGCATGCTTCCACCATCGCCACCATATCAGAATGAAAATTTCCCAAGCGCTCATCCAAGATCTCCATGATACCCTCCTTGATCGTACCGAAGATCACAGGAGTCTGCTCTATAATACTACTGGTAATCTCTTATGAAATGAACTCCCGCATCTGATCATCCATATGTCCGGCCCTAGAGCTAGAACCCGAACCACTGCCAGAACCTCCTCGTGTGGCCACCATACTGAAAATAAACCATTCAAACCATCAGGACATGCCCAAAAAGAAATCCCATTTCCTACAAGCTCCCTAGAATCATCATGACCTTCCTTGAATCGAGGACGAATCATCTACTTCCAGTAGTACGGGCCCATACTACCTTCCACATCTATCCACACTTTCCTCAAGAATCACCCTGAGTCCTCCAAGTTACTTCTCTAACACTCAAAATATCCACTTGCATAACCACATATTCACTGCTCTAAAGCATCTCCTAGGCACTCCTAGGTCACCATCACACCACTCTCCGCTATCAGCTACAAAAGGGAATCCCTCTAATACTATCTCACTAGCTTACGAACACAATTACATATTATCGACGCCACATAATTCTTTGAATGAAAGGTCTCACACTGCCATGGTTGGACTCAGACAAAAGTTGCGCAATAGAGTTAAACCTAACCTTCTAAAATTATCTAATCTTAGTAATATGTAACTTAGCATGCAAGTCTACAAGCTCATATAATAGCATACAAGTCTACAAGCTCATACAATAGAAATATAAAGGCATCTCTCCAAGCATTTTATCATGCAAATCCTGAGAAGATCCTTAGCCTTAGTCTAGCATGCGATTCATAAATTCACCATTCAAAGCATATTACAAGAACATGTATGGGTATTTTGGGAAAACTTATTTGAGCTCGGTCGATTGCATTCACCACACCCCTTTCTTTTATTAGAAAATTCTTTTATAAAATATTTCTTGTTATGAAAAATCTACCAAATCCTCAGTTTGAGTTCAGACACACCTGAAAGAATGCCCGAATCATTCAAACCAAGACTCTGATACCAACTTGTAACATCCCAAAACCCAAAACAAAAAATTTTGTTTTTGTATTAAATAAAACATCAACCAAACGTGTTTATCAAAACCATAAAGAAATCATAGTGTATCAATAATCATCCAAAATACATCAGAGTCAATAAAGCGAAAAATCATGGTGTGTGCAATGCGACCATCCCGAGCCCTTCCCCTTCGAATCGGAGGTACCTGAAACATAAACTAAAAACTGTAAGCATAAAGCTCAGTGAGTTCCCCCAAATACCTCATACCATACACACAATGGGCCTTGCGCGATAACCATCGGGCCCTGCCCGGAACAGATCTATCAGTAACATGCGATGAGCCCCACCCAACACACTCATCAGGCCTCGCCCGGTATACATACAAGCATATAAAATACATGAAAGAGTCACATAGATAGCTAGCATACTATAACATATTCCAATGGGCCGGCATTGGTACCTTCGACCCGCAAGTACTATGAGGAGACTCACCTCAATTTGCTGAAAAAATCAGATAAATACTCAGATTGCTGATCCGGGAAATCTCCGCACTAAATATGATTAAATAATACCCTAATTAATAATTAGGTCATAAACCATAACCTAGAGTCTAAATCCTTAATAGCGACTCCTAGGGTAAAAGACCATTTTACCCTTCCCTTACTGGGCCTAAACAATGATAGCCCAAAACCCCAAACTAGACCAAAGGCCCAAAAGCCCAACTAGCGAGTACGCCCCGCGTACTACCAGAGTACACCCAACGTACTCTCCGAAAACCAACTCACAAGACTTAAACCCACTATGCACAGTGTACTCAAAAGTAAGCCCGGCGTATTGGCTAGAGACCCTTTTTGAAATCTAATGGCTTAATCCCTTAAGACCTTGACGTCCAAACCTCAGATCTACTTCTAAATAATGTCTTAATCCATAAAGTTGGCGACTTTCCTAAATTACATGGCCCAAAAGGACTTAATATCAAGGTAAGGACTTTTTACCTACAGAAGCTTGCAATGAAGAAGATAGCTCTGGATCTTGAAGCTCCAACTCCAACAATGCACCACCACCAAGTCTATCATTCTTCAAAAGCCCCAAAAGAACACCAAAACTCAACAAAAATCTCAAGAATACACCAAAGATGGCTAGGGTTTCGTGGGATAAGCTCTTGGGGGTAAGGAAGCTGATGAGGGGCAGCCTGAAGGTGCATAATGATGCTTAAATATGAGCCAAACCCTAAAAGTTAGGGTTTGTGGTCAGCTCATGTACGTCCAACGTACGTATGGGTACGCCCAGCATACGCCTTAACCACACGCGACCCATTTAAGGGAGTGCGTCCAACGTACTCCATGGTACGCCCAACGTACTCAAGGGCTAAAAAAAGATTTTCTTAAAATTAATTCCAAAGCTAAGGAGTACCTGAACTCGATCATTATAGGAGGGAAGCGGTTTCTGGTTGTAGGAGGAGGAGAGGTGGAGGGAGGTTGGATGGTCCAGAGTTACTAAAGTGAGAAAGAGACTAGATAATAAGAAAAAAAAGGGAGGTTGTGAAGTGGGATCTTTATTTATTTCATTATAAAATATAATATAGGTAATAAAAATAATTAAAAAAGAAATTATAAAGGGAGAAAAAGTCATTTTATGTGGATCAGATGCAATAAAAAAAACTATAAAGACGGTTTGAATGCATAGAAAAAAGAAAGACCTACAGTTTTAACTAAACCACAGGATGATCGATAAATTAAATCATATTATAAAGTTGTACAATATTTTGATAAATATTTTTTATCAATAAAACTAATCCACATATCTTCCTAAATTTGGTTGAAGTTATTCAATCGGATCCCATTTTTATTTCGTCAAGAACTTCATGCTAGTATTGATCAAGTCAAGTAATTGATTTTCCTTTCTACAATACCAGAATGGCACGACACCGGGAGGACTTGAAGTTCCTCGCAGTTTAGTTGTTCCTGATATGCTAAAAGAGGCGAGAGAATTGCCTAAAGAGCACCAACCTTTGATTCCAACAGGTGCGGATCTTAAATGGCAATACATGTGGAGAATTGGCCCTCGTCCATCAACAACTCGCTTTCAGGTTTGTATTTATCAATCAATGGGATACTCATACGGGTTATTACATTGATATCTATATGTAATATGTACCTCTAAATTAGGATTTGAACTCCGACCACATCATACCCGAAGGCTTCCCCGAGTGGGAACAAACTATGGATTCATGGGGTTATAAGCTCATGTCCGCTGTTGAGGTCTCTCACTATCTAAATACTATTATTGTTAATTACATAGCAATAAACATAAAGTCGTTATATTTTAACATTTCTTAGCGGTTTAACCGCTATATTTTATTTAGGTCAAATGAAAGTCACCCTTTTTTTGAAAGATATAGTGACCTATTGCTTCCTTAATTGGCTTCTCATTTTCTAATTTAGGTAAATAAGAAACCATTTCATAAAAATAAATGTTGTTTTCATAAGTACATATGAATATATGATGTCATGTAGGTTAATAAGAAATTATATCATTTTTAACATATTGCTAAATCGGAAATAGCACATGCTAAATCAAAAATATGGGTTACAGTGATCACACTATTAAAAATGAGTAGCTTTCACTGACCGAAATAAAACATAATGGTTAAACTGCAAAATGACTGAAATATAATGGTTTTTATTAATGTATATTACCCTTAGTTATATCTTGAGTTTTTTTATTATTATTATTTTTTATAATATTCAAATTTGATTTTCTAGGCTGTTGCTGAAATGGCAGCAATTGGATTTGGCCTACCAAAAGATGCATTCACCAGTCTCTTGCAGAATGTGAGTCTATTTAATTATTCATATTTCTTTTTAGTTGATTATTTTGCAATGTTATACACAATGAATCCGTACATTTTGTAGGGTCCACATCTTCTTTCTCCAACAGGGGGTGATCTTGGGAGTCATGGAAAAGAGGGTACTGTTTTTGCAGGATATCATTATGATCTTAATTTTCTTACAATTCACTACAGAAGTAAATTCCCTGGTCTATATATTTGGCTAAGGAATGGGGAGAAAGTAGAAGTAAAGGTTCCAGAAGGGTGTCTGCTTATTCAGACAGGAAAGCAGGTAACAATACAACCAAATATTTCAAAATGTTATTCCGTTGGTAATAATTTTGGAAAAAAACGAGTCTTCCTATTGAATCTTGACCCTTTTGGAAGTTTTTTTTTTTAATTTTTCAGTTAGAATGGGTTACTGCTGGAGATTGTATTGCTGGTTTACATGAAGTTGTGGTGACTAATAAAACAATTGAGGCAAGCAAAACAAGCAAATCAAAGCCTTTGGAGAGTATCGTCAACGGTGAGTGTGTGCATAGACCTATAGCCAACCAATTACACTTTGACTTTTGATGTCGAATAAACTAACTTTGATACAATTTAAAGCTACAATACATAAATAAAGAAAAAAGTATCAGTCATATGCTTAACCTTAACCTTAATTTATTCTTATCTTTGGTAGTTGTTCTCTGCTATATCATCGGATGCTGTGATGAAGCCCCTTGGCCATTATGCAAACTCGCCTCTTGCTTATAAGTATCCACATCTTTATGCTGGAGAGTATTTTCAAAAAGAGCTTGCTATCATTAAACTTAATGAAAACGATAAATAACATCACAATGTCTACTGTTAAATTAAGGTGCAGTTATTTTTGTTTGGATGATGCATTGATGCCATGATGAATAAAAGAAGGAATCATAGATGCTATGTTTATATTGGGTGAAACTAATTGCCTATTTATGTCTTTAAGGATGATAAGTATATTCATTTTCTATGTAAATTGTCAAAATAATGGTGCTTGATAATTGGTAATATATATATATATATATATATATATATATATATATATATATATATATATATATATATATATATATATATATATATATATATATTGGTTTTAGTGCATATTAGTTCACAACATGTGGCTGACTTTTATTATACGTGGTGTTGCTTTCTACATATTTGTCATTAATTTATGTGTTACAAAAACACAATTTTGAAACATGTTTATTAGTTTATGTGGTACTAAAACACAATTGATAAAAGTGTTTATTAGTTCATGTGATATAAAAGGACAATTTGGAAAATCTCTTATTTTGTGAATGCTCTTAATAAGGTAAAATAACTTAAGAGGGTACTAAACTTTTGTTGTGTATAAAAAATATCTTTTAATTAACTTATTATTGTACGTATATTCCTTGTAAATAGACATTTATATAAAAAACATATCATTATTATTGGTGTTAGGACATCCATATTTCATTGAACTCTAAGGAGTTCAATGAATTGTCACATTACTGCTACATCAGTATTTTACTTTTTTATTCAACTTACGCTTTAATATCCGCATTCCATTAGACCCTATAGATTTTAATGAATTTCCATATCATCATCATTATATTTTTAGACATAATTATAAATTTAAAAATAAAAGATATAATAGTTAAAAAAAATACAATACTTAAAAATACATTAATTGCAAATTACGAAACCTAAAACATTTAATACCTAAAAATAAATTAATTAAAAAACACAAAACCTAAAAATACATTAATAAAAAAAACGATACCTACAAATTATATTTTATCTTGACCTCTTTACAATGGTTCATCCAAATATCTCGTCCCTCCTCCAACATGGTACTTCAACATGATACTCGATTAATGTAATATTTTATCGAAATTAGTTTGTATTAGATTTGTAACAGATATTTTTTTTTTTAGTAGGCTTTTATTTTTAAATATTTCATTTGATTTATTTATTTGAAAAAACATGACACTTAAAATATGATATATTAAATAATATAATACCTAAAAATATGGTTAATTTTACTCGTAGTTTAATTAAAAAAGTATATAAAATCAAATATAAAAATAATAAGAAAATATGATTATATATATTTTTTGAAATTTAATTGAAAATATAATCCATTGAATCATGCAATTCTTCCATTCAACTCTCATCCATATCATCACACACACCCCATTAACCTTTTATTCAATCATAGTCATCATCTATTCAACTCTTATTAAACCCACATCGTGGATGCTCTTAGGGAGTGTTTGGCAAAATAACTTATTAACTTATTATCGGTTCCACACCACTATAAACTAAATAAGTGTTTGGATATAAATAGCTTATAAAAGTGGAAATTGACAACCCGCTAATAAGTCATTTTTTCATAAGTTAACTCCCTCTAACTTATTAGCATATAAGCCAATAAGCTAATAAGCTATAAGCTAATAAGTAATAAGCTCTTTTGCCAAACACCCCCTTAGTAGGTTTACCCAATAATAAGGCAAAATAGGGGAAAAAGGATTACATGGATATTAGGGTCTTCTTATACGACTATTACAATTGTAACCCCCCAATATATGAAGGCTTACACAAACATTAAACATACATACTGAAAATTATGGCTCGTTTATATAATTCACTCTCAAACCATCTTACAATGAAGAGACAATGGCTAGTTTGTCCAATACAAATGAATCATCGTTCCTAATCATTGATGTTAACTATAAATGTGTGTTTTCCATAGGGAAAAATAAAAAAAAATAAGGAGGGAGACATGTCCGGAAAATTATATTAATTGGAAAAAATAATATAACTATAGGGACTCCCTACATATGGAAAGGAAAAAAGGCTTCAAGACAAACCCCATAAGCAAAACATCCTAACAACTATTAATACAAAACAAAACAATAAAAAAGCTATAACATGCTCTGAAGCCTATTACATAAACATAATAAAGAAAAACTAAAAAAATTACATGTATGAGCTTTTTTAGAAGCAAAGTAATCATAAATAGTATCAAGGTCAGTTTTTGTTCAACATATCTTTTTCGATGCATAACATATCCAAACCATTAAATATTTCTTGTAAAAAAGATTATGTCAAATAGTTTTAAATAACTTCAATTTTAGAAATTTCTTTCTATTGATGCTTTACTAACATGTATAGTTAATAATATTCAATATGCAATTAAAACATTTGGATAACAATCTTCAGTTTTTATAAACTCTAAAATTTCAACAGTAGACATAAAAAATGTTAGGCAAAGTCATTTGTAATACTTTAAGAAGAGGTTGTTAAGCACTAGGTGTTGCACGCTTTTGATGTACATGACGTGCTTATTAGGTTTTCACGACTGCTTTGTCGTGTAGTAGGCACGGAGCTCCAGGTCATGACGTGCCTGCGTTCGACTTTAACTGCTGACTTTTGACTAATTTGTCTTTTGGTCAAACTTATAAGGTTTAACATGTAGACTGAGGTTTGGCCTCAAATTGCTATCTAGGAGGTACGTGAGACCGTTTTCCATGTATGCACGTGTAGCTATGATTTCTTTAGCTTTCAATTCAGGTAAATTATCTCACTATACTATGTGTTACAATATATGTCCTTTTACATGATAGGATGTACTGATACTATAGTATGTTGATTGTATGAGTAAGCTAGCATAGTCTACTATATGTTGATTGCTTGTTTGGGCAGTTGATAGTAGATTGACACTAGAGCCAAGAGCCTAGAATACCCGCGTCATTGAATAGACGTGCACTAGAGTCGTTAGTGTTGGATTAGGTGTCTAAGCCTATAACTATAATTGGTATGTACTTGACCCGATTGTAGCATGGTCCTTTTGGGTTGCCTTCACCAAAGCAATTTGATAGGATGGACTTTTTGAGAAGAGGTTATTTGTGGTTTATTAATATATTATAAGTATAATATATTAATTGAGAAATCATATTATTTATTTAATATTGATAAAGAATTAATTTGGAATTAATTTAGTGATCAAAAGAGTCTGATTAAATATATGGGGACTAATTATGTAAATCAATAATACTTATAGTTGGGCTAATGATCCATGGTTGGTTAGGGTGGGCTAAACATATGTGATAGTCCATAAAGGTTTAACCCATGTAACCCATGAGATATGAAAAGTCATGTGAATTAGGGTTTTCATGGATGTAACCCTAGACTTTCCCACACTATAAAAGAAACCCTATAGTCACCAAAATCGGCCCCTAAGCATTTCCAAGAAGAACATAACCAATTTTGAGCTTCCCAGCCACTTCTCATAAGCCTCCTTTTGCACTTGGTGTTTGTGACACATTAGAGGCATAACATTTGAGGAGCTAAAGCTTTTGAAGGCCAAGAACTCTAAGCCACATTAAGAGGTATTCATCTACTTTGGTTCTATGTTGTATATCTCAAAGTTTTGTATGCTAGTTTAGGCTTTATGCTTTGGAAACAATATTGCATGTATAATAGAGAAATAGATCCAAAACATCTAGGATTGCATGTGCACCATAGGGGTGTTATAATGCTTAAATCCCAACAGTGGTATCAGAGCCATGTTAGTTTTCAGTTATATTGTTGCATTGTTCATTGTTCAAAGTTGAAGCAAACTAAAAAAGGCTTTCTGCCAGACTGAACTCGCCGAGTCCATAGATAAACTCGACGAGTCCAAAGCCTGGCTCGACGAGTTGCACTATCAGATGGCAGGTTTTCCGGTTTTTTGGCCTATATTGGATTAGGATCACTACCACAAACTGTTTTGTATCATAAAATCTGTTTTTCTGATATGGTAGTGATTATACTCATCTAATGAAAAGATAATTGTCAAAGTTTTAAGATAATTGTTGGTTATATGATAAACAATGTTACTTGTAAATTGTTGATTTGATATTATCTGCTTTATGAGTTTAGTTAGATCAATCATTAATTATATGATAATTTTATTTATTGAAATTGATCTAATTGTTTTAATGAGTTCCATAACTTGTCGTCAAGTTATGGAACATGAAAAGTCTCATCCATTAAATTAACATTAAACTCATATGTTATGGAAATGAAAAGTTTTGAAGAGTTTCAAAACTTGCCCGCAAGTTTTGGAATTTGTAAAGTCTCACTAATGAAACATTTAATTCCAAACCCTAGAGTTTTAAAAGTTAAAATTCAAGCCTTATACTATTATAATATTAAGGTTTAATACTTATATATATATATCTATATATATATATATATATATATATATATATATAATATATATATATATCTATATATATATATATAAGACAAGTCAGTCTTACCGTTAGTAGGCCTCATTCACGAAGCCGGTCTATAAGGGGGTATAAGGTTACTACCTATAAAATGGTAGTTTAATGGGTGTCCAATCTCACCCACCGCTTCCTTGACCGGTGGAGGGTCGTTATCCAAACGGGTAGGATAGGACATTAATCTTCATTAATAAGTATAATGAAATTATAAAGTAACTAAACTTTAGTAAATTCTCAATCTTAGTTACTTTAGGAAAATGTGAAAATGATGCTATTCCATGAAATTGCACTTTGCAACTTGCCGAATCGTTAGTAGAGCGTGTGTGGTTAACCGTCACACTAATTTGGGACTGTCAAGGGTGGCAAAGGGTAGCTTGATGTTTTTCATAGATTAATGGAGTGTGTTTGGTTAACCGTCACATTGATTAGGTGATAAGTGACATCAAGAGTACCAAGAAATTTGAATGGTTATTCACACCTTGTTTGTGATCCTTGGTATCCCAGTCACAAACTTAAAGGGCATAATCGAGATTTAAACATGCCATTTAAAAGTTCAATGAATCTGGGAATTTCAATTCATTTAAAGCTTAAAAATCTATTTCATTTTTCATGGTGGAAATTTGTAAATCGTCATTTACCTA